CCATAATACTGTACTGACATTCATCAAGAGCAATATTATACTGAATTATCATGGCTACAATGGAATGACACCTGTGAACCAGTGAGGATGACAGTTTTGCCCAGGTTCTCCAGCATGAATGACAGTGCAGATGCCGTGTAGGCCATAGTGTCCGTGCCATGGAGAACGACAAAGCCATCATACAAGTGGTACATGGTCTGAATGTCTTCAGCAATGCGAACATAGTCGTCCATGGTCATGTTGGATGAATCCAAGATTGGCTCATACTCCAGCACAGTATAAACGACTCTTTTGGGCTCCCGTGTTTCCCTGCAAAAAAAAAAAGGAGCCAGAAAAATAAACGCATGAATTCTTCTTCCTGCAAATTTTATTGCAGTTTATTATACTGTAGATCATTTCCCCAGCGCGGGGACTGGCATATTTCCACAAAAGAAAAAAAATTCCGCATACTGGTAAATGTATGGGAAAAATATTTCTGCAAACTTTCAGATTTTCATCGAATTTTTGCAGACTCAGAATTTTTTTAATGACTGCTTGGCAGGTATTGAAAAGTACAGTATCTGCTTTTCGGCAAAAATCCAGTTTATAACCGCTGAAGAAGCCATAGCGGAATGTCTTCGAAAAAATAGAAAGGTGTTCTTGAAGAAAAGATTTTCAGAGATACAATTTGATTTACAGTATTTTATTTTAATAGGTAAAAATTTGTTTAAAGCATTAAAAGGAGAAAAGCCAACTTTTATTATAAGTTCAACTGATGAATGTCTCTTCAAAATTCCAGATACAGTCAACGAACTCCATGGCTACCTTTGATAACTTCACCATGCTGAAAACAAAATTCCTTTTGACCAGCACCATGGGAATATATGTTCAACTGCCACATAGAATATAACTGTATAAGAGAGTCTTCTCACGGAAGGACGAGTGGAGTCACAGTCCCCTCATTCGAACTGTTGGTGGAGTCTCTTTTGGTACTGCTGATGGTTCTCATGGTCCCAGTACCAGCAGTAGGGTATGCATGGTAATGGTCAGCATATTTGACGTCATGGAGGTGCGGATATGAACGGATGTGTTGCTCCAGTTGTTTCGGAGCAGGCGCAAGAACTGCATTATATTCATTTCTCAAATTTAATTCATTCTGGAGACTCACAATAAACTAGGCTTTTAAAGTGTGTTTAGACCCATGTGCTCTCTAACCTTTTTGGGATTGTAAATGGGCATATTTCCCTAAACTTTTGTGCAGACTAGTAAAGTTTTTTTTTAATGTTCGCAGACTCAAAAGAAATTTTGCTTGAAAGACTTCATCGCAGGTGCATTTGAAAGATTGTTTTTTTTTTCGTCAATAAATTGTTAAAAACTAATGGAGGCTCTATAATGGAATGCCATTGAAAATTAAAAAGGTAGGATTGAAGATAGGTTTTCAGAATTAGTATTTTAAATTATTTATTTCAGCAAGGGAAAATATTTGTTTGAAGTGTGTTTCGAGAAAAGCAAACTTATTTTAACCATTGGATAATTTTAACTGACATTGCTTCCAAAAATTGCAGACAGAGAGATCACACTTCATTGGTATTTTTTATAAATTTGTTATGCTGCAGAAAATTCCCCACAGACTGACAAACAAATTCTGCACACTGGTGCTAGTCAGTGGACCAAAGGTTGAGGAACTTGGTATCTGTTCATACACCATAATAAAAAAAAACTTCCATACAAGTCAAAAACCTCCCTACGTCAATCTATTTAAAGTCACTGTCTGCTATCCATTAGGTATAAATAACTCGTATAATGCATCGAGAACCTCCCCAACTCAAAGGCTATATTCCTCCAAAAGCCTCTAGCACAAGTTAAATTTTCTGAAGTCCTTCTGTTTATTATCAATTGACGTATAGGAAACAGAAAAGCAATGAAAATGTAACTCAGTGTGCTTTAAGAGGAAGTAACAGATTCATTGGGCAAATTATTCCTTGAGTCTAAGTTCTGCTGCCTTTTAAGGAAGAAATTTAGGGACTGGATTATCAGAATAACACCAATTTTGGATGAAAAATGGACATATTGTCTGATTTTCATTGGTTAATAACCAAAATTTTTCTCATTTCCCTCCAAAACTTGTCCTGATTTGATTCAAAAGCAGTTCTCTTTTGTATGAATTTTGGATAAAAATCAGACAAGTTGTTTGCTTTTTGCCCTAAAGTTATCCAAGCCAACTTGTCTGAATTTTGTCCAATTTTGGTTACATTCTGGGATAAGTTGGTTTGCATTATAACTTTTGGACAAAAAGCAGACATTTTTGTGCTACTGGGTACACACATACACAAACACACACATACACAAGCATATGCACATGTACACTCACACATACACACACATAGACTCACACATACACACACATACAAATGCACACACACACACATACACACACACAACCATTCATTTTTAAAATCTGCTTCCACTATGAGGGACATTGTCCAAGAAAGTAGGCAGACTTCTCCAATTGAGGATATTGGAGAAGTTTTGACTCCACTCATACTGTATGGTAGACTGTATTTAAGTGAACTCTCTGCTCACCTCCTTGGTCGTTCTTGATCATGCCTATGGTGCCACCGGTGTAGAGCACCAGAACAAAGGACTCGGACGAGTTCCTTCCTCGTCGTTGGTGCACAGCTTCGTAGCTCTGGTTCCTGCATAGCTTCTTGGGCACGTGGAACGGGTCAATGCACATCCCTCTGTACAGTATATTCAATACATAAACAATCAAACCTATGTAACTGAGTCCAACTTCCAGGGACCATGCGGAGAACAAATTTTTGTCATGCTGGAGGTTTCCACTTAAGGCCTTTTAGTTGGTGTAATAGGAAAAAGGATTACAGGAAATTGTAATTGGTGATATTCTTGGTCTTATATTGCTTCTTCTTGAATGAGTTGACAAGGATGATTAATTGGGAGGCAAGGGTTCATGAATGAATGAATGAATGAACAGAAAACTTTATTTGCTGCTTTTCAGCATTCACAATGCACAGTCATCGCAAGACTCCCGCATCCAAACCCCCTCCCCACCCAACCCAACTCCCCCCAAAGACATTCAATCCCTTCAAAGCATGAAACAAAGCACAAACCAATGACAAAAACAGAAG